GTACATGTGGAAGAATTGACAATAAAGCAGACTTGACTTGACTTGACTTGTCTGTCTGTCTGTCTGTCTGTCTACACAGGTATCTGTCTACTGCATACTGTATATTAGAACAATGCTAACTGATTTTAGGCAGTTTCTAATAGACTTTTAATGACAATCATAAGGACCTTTTAGTGAGTTTTGTAGCTATAATTTAATGTAACTCATTTTTAAATACTCAGCAAGAAGGTTAATTGTGTATTTACATCTAAAAAGCAAAGAAATCAGTTTTATTGTGCATTAGTATAATTATAGATAGTTACATACAGGGTAGGTTGACCCTAATTAGCCAAGCAATTTAAAAGTCATTTCTGTAAATACTGTACATATCTGCTAGATGGTATCTGGAAAATATCTTATATCTACTATATGCCTATTGCCTACTGTTTATTGCTTTTGTACTTATGATTGCTATATGTGCTTTCAAACATGTTAACCCCTATAAGATGTGTGTGGTACAGGGTGCAAAGATAAGGGGAGGCATAACAGCTGCTAGACCTCTGGTGTTAATTAAGTCCAAGAACTGCTGATCAGTCCGGGTCTCTCTTGAGCCGCACTCTCTCTGCAGGAGCAGGATGTGCCACTGAAACACTGCTGTGCTGCAAAGGACAGTCTTTCCATTCAATTCATCACATCCACAGCCTTCTGGTGCTTTCGGACTGTGTTTGTGCACCTTTGTATGTTGGTGTGTGTTTGTGACAGCCATTGTGCTGCCTTATCTAAAGCTGCAAGACTCCTCTGACACTCATTTAGCAGTGTTCAGAGTCTGAGTAGATGTCCACAAGCAGATGGGAGATACATGACGGCTGGACTCCCGGATTGATCTGAGACTGCTGATTAGCCATCCGTACTTTTAGAAAAGGTGACTAATTTACTTTGAGTTCAGGATTGTTGCAGTTTCTGCTTTTCAAGTGTTTACCAACCATATATATCAGGGCTGTGTCATTTTGTGATGTCTGTCCTGCATCACCAAAGACATTGATGTTGAGACATTTTCACGTCATTTTGGAGGATTCCATTATAGCCTTGGCAATCTTTGGATATTATTGTGGTATTGTGGTTTGAATTACACAAAAATATGGAAGACCATTTTCACCAAAGTGTTAAAAAAGAATGGCAAGAATTTCTCTCTTTTCTCACCATTGTGATTTTATTTCTTGCTTTAATCTCATAATTACCTTTTTTTAATTCACTTTTAGATGGAAATGGGCTTCCATACAAAACATACTTATGTTTGTTATATTGTCTTTAATAGTAATAATTACATCCTACTATTATCTAGATATTTAATATGAAATGATGGAATTTTCATTAGTTTAATTAAAATTTTAACGTTTAGCCGAGGAAGACTGATGGAATCCTCGAAAATGAGTTAAATGCAGCAACAGATAATAATCAAAAGCAAAAATTTTTTAATTTTAATTTTTTTTTTATTTTTATTATTATTATTTGAAATAAAGTACTCTTATAAATTGCACACAGTGTAACCAGGAACATCCATTAAGACTGGAAATATGGTCCATTTTGAATTCATGCTATCTTGTTTTCTTTTTCTAACTGAAAAAAAATAAAATAAATGGAACTGGCATGAAAGAACAGCTTGTCTATTTCTTTCAAAGCTGGGCCTGTGTTTTTAGTGTGTTTCTTTGTAGTACAAATTTTTCTTCATCCAATCAGACGTGTACTGGTTTCATCACTCAGAAAAATACAGAAAAATCATCCATGTAGCCTCTCTGGCTCTCCCTCTTTCCACATATCAGATTGCATTAATTTATTATGGATTCCAAATCATCTGCGACTTTCACCTTGCATGTTTTACTCGCCCCTAGACCCAGGCAAATACTCTCAGGTAATAGCAAGCCTCACAGATTGTTGAAATCAAATGATGTGTGGTCTCTCCCTGAATCTATTGAGTTTCTAAACCCATTCTCACACTGAAACTGGAAATCTTGAGAGAGCTGGCAACCCTAGCAAACGCTGAAACTGCATACAACCTTGTCGTACATTTGTTTAAATTATTTATTGCTGTAGTTTGACAAACTATGCACTCACTCACATAGACACTAACCGAATCCCTAACATGCCCGAGTCTCGCTCTAGGTGTTTTGTGGCCAAAACAGTAGCATGACATTGCTGGCAATGCCCCAGTTCCTTCACCTCACGTATAGCCGGTTTCAATTTAGTCTCGAGCCCATTACAGATACAAGAACTCAAGGCAAGAAAGATCTGTTTTCGTTCATTTCATTCTGTTATGCCGATAATTAAAGTAATGGCCAATAATGTTTGATGAAGCATTTCATTTGCTCTAATAAAGTCTTCCCTGCATTTTCTTTTCCACCAAGTAAAAAGCCCATAATGACTGTAATTGCACAGGCAGAACTGAGGCTCAGAGCAGCTGAGGATACTCACAAGTAATAGTGTGCCCTTTCTCTCACGGCCAAAGCGGACACTTCAGTAATCCAGAGACTCGATAATCCTTTGCGGACTGGGGGGGTCGAGAGTGTGGAAACGGAGGATGAGGATGTGTTTCTCAGATTGCCAGGGGACGTCAGGGGCTGTGAGAGGCAGCTGCTGGCATCCAGACCACGTGGGCAGTCACGTCCTCAGCATGCGGCTGTGGAGACAAGAGGGGTCATTTGTGAGAGAGAATGGCTCATTCTCATCTTCGGACAAAGGCAGACATTGAGAACCAGGGGATGAGGGGAGGGCATGGTTGGAGTAGGCGTCATTCATTACTAGAGCTAATTTATGGTGGGAAATATGGATAAATATAAATGTGGACTGTAAGTGGTGTGTTCACACTGCACCAAAAATGATTTGTAATTCAAATCAGATGTTTTGCAGGTGATGAAGAAAGTAAACTGTGTTGCATATTATGTGTTATTGTACATACGCATCCCAAAAGATGAAAAAATAACATAGTTGAAATCCATTTAAGCACATTTTCAATAATGTTATTTTAATTGAATTTCAATCCACATATACATTTAGTTTGGATTAGTGTTGCTGTTCAACATATAAACACAAACTAATATATATATATATATATATATATATATATAACTAATTAAAAACTGAAAATAATTATATATGTGGGCATTTTATATTTTCTAAAACATTCAGAAAGAGTGATTTATCTACCATCTCTT